GGTGTCCGTTTTGATTTTCGTAGACTATTTCTATGTCCAAGGTCCTTGTCGAAATCTCTGCTTTTCTCCGATTTTCCACCTCAGCTTTTTCCCTCTCAAAATCGCAGCTTCCACAGTCTTCCATGCGCAGTTGTTCTTGGTTTTTAGCCCCTATTCCCTGCACTTTCTCGCTTCTACTTCTCTGCGGCTTTGTTTTACTCTCTTGGAGTTCATTTGCTTTTGGTTTTTGCCTCGTCTGCACCTCCTTGTCTGTTTGCTTTGGCCGTGCGTAAAGGTTTGTCTTTTTCAACAGCACTTTATTTTCCTGCTTAAATGGCTTTTGTTCACTTTCTTTTGTACGGCTACTCTCTCTCAGATGTTGAGATCGTTCTTGTGTGAGACTTCTTGGCCTTTGCCCCTCATTTTTCTGGAGTTGGCGCCGGCTTTGCGGCGCTAATGCTGATATTTTCTCGATTTTTTCGTACCGCTCTTCTTGCACTTCTAACTCTATATCCTCTACCGAGGTGTCCAGCTTGTCTTCGTTTTCATCCGACTGATCTGTGGTACTATGTGTTTTCTTAAAATCATAGCATCTGCAATGTTTTGCATGCTGCTGAGTGTATCTACTTTGTGAACATGGTTCTTCTTCTTCATTATGTTGTCTCTTGTTACTCTCCTCTTCCGCCGTATCTTGTTTCTCCACTGCCTGTTCTTCTTCCGAATATTCCTCTTCGAGTTCGTCTTCCTCCCTTCGCTTTCGCCCTCGCCGTTTCATATCTGCAGAGCGTTTGCAACATTTCCCTCTCCTCGCGTGAACTCTTCTTTCTTCAGCGCTGCAACAATAATTTTCCACTTCGATTTCGATATCTGGTTCTGTGTCTGTATCTTCGTCATCGTCGTCCGTCTCCATGCTTTGCTGCCGCCAGTTATTTTTGAATTCTCCGCTACACCTGCAACATCTGCATTTGTTCCGAGCTTTCGATCTTTCCGCTTTCTCACGCGCTCTACAACAATATTCTCTTATTGCATATGCTATTTGTTCGGCTTCGCTCAGTTGCGCCAAACGTCGCTTATTACACTCTTCAATCGGCTTACTTATGCTCTGCAAACCATTCCGCTGTTCCGTTTGATAATCCATTTTTTTGTTCCTTGAACAATTACAGTTGCAAATACAGCAGGTCCTTCGACTTTTTCCATTACCATTGAATTTTCGATAGTGTTCTGACATTTCTTCTGCCCTCGTGATTTCTTCCATTTGCTGCCCGGGTATCAAGGCATCGACTAAGTTGTTGCAATTATTGGAGTCGACGAGCGCTACAAAGGATGTAAAACCCTTATTATTATTCTTACTGCAGCCGCCCTTCTGTTGCCTGCGGTGATCTCTGCTGTTTCCCTTTCCGGTATTATGCGTCCTGACAATGGTATTTAGCGTTTCTTCATTTCTGAAATCAGCCTTAGAGCATTGCGCTGAATTCACATGGCTTTTTCCGGCTCCCATGGCATTAGGAAGCAGAGCTGATGAGGAGTAAACACGCAGAGAATCAGTTCAGTAACGCAAGCAAAGAAAGCAGCTTGTTGAGCGTTTCGCCTTAAATTTAGAAGAATTTAAAGAAAAAATTACACAATACAATTTTGAGGACGACCAAACGAAAATATTTTTTTTAGAAGTATGTAAATATGTATATTTGAAAGATCTGTTCTACTTTATTAAATAACTTGGATGGAAATTTTCCTCATCAAAAATACGGAGAGTTCAAACGATAAATTAAAAACTTTGTCGCAAACGTAATTGCTTTCGTAACCGTTATCGTGATCGTTATCGTAATCGTAATCATAATTAGAATCAAAATCGATATCATAATCTTAATGCCAATCGTAATCGTGCCTTTACACCGAGCCAAAGTACAATGGTTTTTCAACCAAGTTATTGTTTAGTTTTTTTATGGTAAATGCTGCTTGCTGTTATTTGTTTCTGAAAAGATTTTATTTCTAAGCTACTTGTGGAAGGATTGCCACCTATTTAGAAAGTGAAATTTAGCTTGAATTAAGGGAATAAAGTAACCAAAATATGTATCACAAAATAAGTAACAGACGAAAGAGCTTTAAAAAGTTTTTCATTTGAAAATATTTTGAAGAGCGTTACCACCTGTTTTTAAGGTCGCATTAAAAATTATTTACTTTGAATATTTCTAAGGTATATAAATAAAGTGGATTGTCATCTGTTTAAAAATTTAAATTTAAATGTTTTAATAAGCAAAATAAATTTTTTAAAACAAGGGTGTTTAAAGAGGCTACACCGTATCTAAATAATAGGGTAGCGACATATTTACTTCTATTTGACTTATCTAGTCAGATTCAACTTAATTGAAATGTGTATCAAAAAATAGTTTAAAGAAGGTATTATTTTAAATTATACCGTTGCCACCTGTTTGAAAGGCGAATTTGGTTAAATTAAGCACAAGTTATATGAAATATTAAAATATTACTTAGTTGGAAATGAAAGTTTTGAGAAAGCTTTGTTTTGAAAATTTGTATGACAAGGGTGGCCACCTATTCGAAAAGTCTTATCTATATAACTATGTTTATATAAGGGGTGTCCTAGACCTCCGTCCACCTCTTCTAAAATGGAGGAAAATGTTTTTGATTGGAAAACGCAAAAGTATGAACAACTAAGTCGGGAATGCTCTATCTCTATTGCCGCGAAGTGGGTCACACTGATCGGAAGTCCATTTTTTTTTTAATGGGACATATATATGAGTTTTTAACTCAGATGTGGATTCTGCCTAAAAAAAGCTACTCCGAGAAAAAAGTTTCAAACAAAAGTGGATGGGTCGTGTTGGACACCCTTTATAATACGTGAAGGCATTTTCGGTGTGTAGATATGCAGAGGTTTATATTTTTGAAGCCACTGCCAAAACTGTACGGTCCAAGGTCTTTATTGTCTTTACTCACCAAAATTTCCTTGATTTCACATATAATTTTTAAATGAATTTAATTTAAAGCAATTTCCTGAATACCGTTCCTGGCATTCTTTTTGTTTCCATCTTCGTATACCCCCTACTCCTCAAAGCAACAGCATTACACATCTTTGCGTTGTCTTCAAATTTGTACAATTATTTTCAACAAGTTTGTGAAAACTTTGTAAATGCCTGTCATTGGAAGCTTTTGTTTGTAATGCTGCTTTTATACTCTTTTCCGCTTTGTTTTGTTGTTGTTGTTGTTGTTGCGTTGCTGCCCATTTCAAGGGTGAACAACATTTGCTGTAAAAACAATGAAAGCCGGCAGACGTGAGTTTAGCAGTCTAAATGCGTGTAAACTTTTTAATTTGAATCGAATTTTAAAACGTCTTCCAGCTGTACTCAACGATTGGAGGGGGGATTGGTTTGGATTTTTGCCCGCTACTTAATAAAAGTTTATTTCGCCGAGTATTTTATGGGTATTGGATAGGAGGAGATTTACTCAGCTTTTGGCAAAGCACAAATAAAGAAGTGCATACAAGTTTATAAATGAAAGTATGTGTGCGTGTGTATTCTTACAAAATCCAATCAAAAATATTTTATTAAATGCAACTTAAAAAAAATTTATTAGAAATTTGTTGCGTCTATTTTCCAAGAATTGTTGCGCTCACAGTAAGGTATTAAAAATGTTAAGTAAAAGTTCGATGAACGGCTGGATTACTTTATAGAAAGAAAAATTTCATACCTCAATTGGCAAGATCCTTAAGTGAATACTCTGCTCATGGCTTGTCGATGCTAGCTGCTGGTAAAAGCAAAAATTGAGAGCATTTTGTCGAACTGTCATATACGATTGGTTTGGCTTGCTCGGACCAGGTAACGAACCCAGGTCCTGCGGAGTGGAAGTATGCACCCCTAAAGGCACATTTGGCATCTTTCGTTTGATAGTCAAAATAATTATTTTCATTGTTAGTACAAAATTTTACACTAATATTTAACTGTAATTTGCTATACTTTAAATAAAACCAAAAATAATTGAATCTAAAACCAACTGCAGGCAATTTATTTGCCTACGTTTTATACATACTATAGAATCTTGTGAGTGTATACTGCAATTATGTTGCTCATACGCCATGTGCTCTCTTCTAATATTGTATTTCGATAGCATATCTATTCAATTTTCCAGTTCAAATGAAATGTAATGCAACCGAAAATTAGTATATTTTAATATCTGTTTTTTAGATAACTATAATCATAAAATGAGTTGTATAATTTAATTGAATGCAAAACAATATTAAACATCCTTGTACGCTCACTGCAACCACAATGCATTTACAATGTGGGTAATGGCATAAGCCAATCTACATCGCTGTTTACATATGTATATGTGGTACCTACACACACAAATACTTACACCCAGCTTTATTGTTTTCACAGCTACGTGACCGTGGTGAGTCCTATATACAAACATACACGTACATACACACGACCTACTAGAAAACTAGTGCATAGTAGCTGCTATCAGCGTACACTCCCTTGCCAAAGCGTATTAGGCGCGTAAATTACGTTGACATTTAATATCATACAGGAACATAAATAATTTTTAAATTAAATAGCAAGGCATTGTTAGGCATTATATTACGTACTGTTGTTGTTGTTTTTTGTTTATGTTTGCTTTGCATACGCGTAGTAGCGGATATGGAGCGTAAAACATGCGTTGAACGGAAACAGGATGCGGAAATAACGCCATAAATTTAGTTGCAAAGCGCCGACAAAATAATAACCCCAAATACAAACTTCATACAACAACATGTACAGTAAATAAACAAGTGGTATGGTTGTAAACACACAACTGAATTTAAAAACAAAATTAATGAAAAGTCACCAGTCACTAGTTCACAATTATTTGAGGGAAATTTTGAGACTAGTTCTGAGACCTTTGGAGCCTAATTCGTGATAATTTTGAGTCCACTTCAGGACCACTTCGGTACTAGTTCAAAACTATTTGGGGACAATTTTGACCCTAGGTCAGGATTCGTTTGGGATTAGTTTAGGATCATTTTGGGGCTAGTTTAGGATATTCTGCGACTTATAAGGGACCATTTCGGGGCCATTCTAAGACTTTTCTCTGATCATTTCGGGACAAGTTCGCGCCTGTTTCGACAGTTTCGGGGGGCCTGTTCAGTACTATTGGAAATACGTTTTAAATTAAAAGTCACGTTTTTTTTTTAATTAAAAATCTATGAGCGCTCATTAAAGCACCTTTCGCAAACAGATATTTACACATTCCACCATAACTTCAAAACAAAGACAATACTCATTTCAACTTCAAAAAACTTCAATGCTTCGTGAGCGGCATACACTCAAATTTATACAAATACTTATACATACAACTTGCATTCTATATTACGAGGCACGTCCACAGCATAAATATTTTAATTTTACTAGAAATAATGTTTCAACTTTTCCGCCACGCTTTTGTCACAGCAAGCAAGCGCAGAAATTCGTGCCAATATTGGAAGAGAGGCAAACAAGCCACTTGCTCGCTGCAAGTTCCCTGCCATACCTCTCGCCTGCTGTGTTGAGTTCGTATGCCCACCTCAATGCCACTTAATTTTGTTTAATATTAAGGATGATGTGTAATTTTAATAAGCAGGGCATGGCGCAAGTACACACAGATGCGAGGGGCGTGCGGACACCTAAACTCATTCTCGCTTTTTGAGTAGTGCATTGGCAAACTGAGTTAATGGGGGCAATATAGTTGAATTTGGATTTTTGTAGGTGTATGCGCATTATTTAAAAGTATTATGCATGTAGGAGAACCCGGCGAATGTTTGTTAGATATACTATTTTATATGTATTTTGTATGCAGCAAAGTTCCATAGTGAATGCTTTGTATATTTAAATTTAGTGTTAATTACCATCAACCGACTAATTCGCGAAAATGGTGTATGAAGTTAATTCAACCATGGATGCATTGCCAACGCACTGCGCTCAGAAGAATTAGAGCGCACAATTAGGTGCTCAACCAAAACTGTTGTTGTAGAGGGGGAAAGTTTATTGACATTTAAAATCAGAGTACATACATATTAGGCTTGGATAGTTCTTGAACTAAAGAACTAGTTCATCTCTATGAACTAGTTCGCTAGTTCGGTCTCTTCAATGAACTAAATTTTTCAATTACTATTTCTCATTTTGGATCGCGATGCAAATATTATTGGCGCGAACCTATGTTGAGTATCCCCATCTTTACTGATGCGTTTTGAAATCTCATGGATTGTTGCTACTTCACATTCTTGCTAACTTGTTTTTTCGCAAATATTAAACTAGCGTAGAAGCTTTCTAATGTAATATGTAAGTTTTTTTTTTGAGCTCTAACTAAACGAACTAAAGAACTAGTTCACTGCGGTAAACGAACTACAACTGAACGGCTCACTTAAAAGAACTAAGGTGCCCAACTCAAATACATATACACATGTGCATATTAAAATTTTACATTTTTAAAAATTAAACAAAAAAAATGTTGCAATTAAAAAAAAAAAAA